TCTGGCAATGGGGCTGGAAACTCGATGGTACCATCGAGTTTTCAGCCCCATTGCCAGAGCGTCGCCCGGCGTCACCTCCTGACGATGGCATGGTGCGTTACAGGGAGGAATGGTCCGCCCGGGGAGCATGTTTCCCCCACCGGATCGCGGTAAGTACTTGGGAACCCTATCTCCGACAATCGGAGCCTCCCCCTTTAAAGACAGGTACTCAGATTGATTTGATTAACTGTAATTTGAGTGCCCTCTTAAACATTTAAATGCCCCCGGACTAAAAAATCCCGGCTACGGGCTGGGCCACGTGTGCCGTAAAACGTAATGCCAGGTACCGGGGATATAAACTACATAAAGGACAGCAGCTGGTAAGTGCCGAGTTGTTGTATCCTCACTGCAAGGCCCCCTAGGCTGGGAGGGAGGTGCAAAGGAGAACCCATATGGGTGGACTGGAGAGCCAGAGATGCAGCACTGGGCAGATGCTCCCACGATGCTTGACTGCTGCAGACGAGGTTGTTCCGCCATGCTGAAGCCACAGTCAGAGGCTCCGCCCACCCGCACCTGAGTAGTCTCCTGTTCCCTCCCTTACACCAGTTGCTCACGGGCCGCATAAGAGCCCTGAACAGGCCAGTTCCGGCCCCTGGGCCTTAAGTTTGACACCCCCTGATCTAGAGTTAATGCCAGGCAGGAAAAACCAGAAATCTTACAGGGAAAAACCTTTCTTAAAAGAAAAAAAAAAAAACCACACCACAATAATTTCAACAAATTACCATTAGAACCTTTTAAAACTGCCCCCACCCCTCCAGCGACTGATATTCGGCGGTATACTCCTCAGCGAGGAGCCACTTTTTAACTTACACACCCAGGGAAATGCCAATTGCCACTTTGGGGTCAGGAACGACACTCCCTCTAAGCTGTGGAGTCTCATGAGCAAAAATTCTGCTTTTTGAGCTACCGGCATTAAAGTGGTGAGCGAGCAATTCGGCTACGGCATAAATTAGTTTGCTCTGGAGCCATCCCTTCCTGAGCTAAGACAAAACCGTGTGTGAGCCAGAGGCTAAAAAACTGTGAGCTGGCTCACACTAACTCAGCTTAGAGGGAACCCTGGTCAGGAAGCATTTTTTCTCCAGGCCAGTTTGACTGGAGATCCCAGAGGGTGTGCTTCCCCCCCCCTTCTGGGCCTGGAACAGGGGGAAGCAGGGGTCATTTCCTGCAGGAGCGCACAGGAGCGGAGCTCCGGCAGTAAAGAGCTCAGGGGGCGGGCACATGCAACAAGCCCCACCCCCCGCTCCCAGCAGCCATCAGTCAGAGCAAGAAGCAGCCAGGTAAGCTGCAGAGCCCCCCCCCGGCCTATGCAAATAAGTTATGCTAATGAGCTCCTGCACATCTTTTTCTATGAAATTACCCCGGGGGGGATGTATTGGTGAGTTTTCTGCCTTGTGCAGGGGGTTGGCCCCCCCCCAATAGCTAGCAATCCAAAACCGTCCAGTGAAGCCTGAGCGGTGGGTGTTGCCTTCTGACACATGTCCGGTGATGTCAGGGGGTGTGGCCTATGCAAATAAGTTATGCTAATGAGCTCCTGCACATCTTTTTCTATGAAATTACCCCGGGGGGGATGTATTGGTGAGTTTTCTGCCTTGTGCAGGGGGTTGGACTAAATGGCCCCTGGAGGTCCCTTTCAACTCGATGCTCCTATAACTCTTTGACTGAAAACAAACATGCGTGTTCATCGGGGGCTGGACATCAATTTCAATGGAAAAACCACAACCGGGTTGCTAAAGTCTATGGGACAAACCTGATCTGGTTGGCCAAAGCCCGAGATGCGGCCTGTCGGATTTGTAGAGGCCCCCACGGTGTTTGCAGGCTGTGTTTCCGGGGCAGGCGAGTCCGGCGCAACCAACCGTGTCGTCTTCTCTCCTTTCGACAGTTCAACAGCTTTGAGCAGCTCTGCATCAACTTCACCAACGAGAAGCTGCAGCAGTTCTTCAACCACCACATGTTCGTGCTGGAGCAGGAGGAGTACAAGAGGGAAGGCATCGACTGGGTGTTCATCGACTTCGGCCTGGACCTGCAGGCTTGCATTGAGCTCCTGGAAAAGGTGACCTTTCCTTGGGGGCCCCACGGAGAGAACAGCCCCTCGGAGGCAAAGTTATCCTGCTTCTGATCTGATGGGGTTAGAGATGTGAAGGCCCGGAAAAAAACCGGGAAAATTCGGGGGGGAAACCGTTCCCCCCCCCCCAGTTTTTTCCTAAAGCCTTTTTTGTTTTTTTCCGAAAAATTGAAAAAGGAAAAGAATTTTTTTTATTATGGAACATTTTATTTTAACATGATGAATAAAATATTTTAAGACAAGGTGTTCAAATATTTTCCAAATAATTTCTAAAATATATATATATATATGGTATCAGATTGATCTAATTTCTGTGCACTGAGGACAAGCAAGTCCTAGGTTCTGAGGACAATTAAGTCCTAGGTTACAAACTGAACTCTCCAATGCAAGAACAAGATGCATTTCTTCCTTTAGGAGGTGCGATTGTCAGAAGAAAATAAAAAAGTTTCAGTTTTGTTTTTGCATGTGGGTGGGTATTCTGTTTGTAATAATTGTTTGGATACACTATATTTTTAATATGCTAGTTGTGATAATTTCATGCCAAATAAAAATGTCCATAGTCATATTTTATGTTCCTAAAGTAACAGAATGGCTTTCAATTTAGAAAAGACAAAAGAAATGCTAATGTAGCATTTTTTTTCAATTTTTCCGAAAATTTCCGGTTTTTTCCGGGAAAAACTGGAAAAAAAACGGGTTTTTTTCAAAGCTTCAAAACTGCAATGCTCCCAAGGTGCTGCCAAAGGGGGCAGTGTCAGACTGAAGTGAGCCTCTCCCTGACGCCGCCTCCTTCCCAAGCTCAGCTGACTAGCGCTAAGGCTTGCTTTCATCTCACTGAACTTCATGCCTTTGTCCCTTCCTGTGCTTAACAAACCAGTAACAATGTTAAGCAAATGCCATTGTGGCCTGTCTTTCACCACAGCCGTGTGTGTCGGTTCAGTTTGTTCATCTTTCTCCAGGTCTTGTGCTCCACACACGGGTAACAATATTGTACATATAATAGTAAGCAGGGCTATTTTGGGGGGCAGGAACATACAGGAACGGAGTTCCGGCTGGCTTCAGAGTTGCCCACGCCCATTATAGCCAAAACCTCTGCGCATGCGTGGCTACAACGGGAAGGCCTGGAGAGTGACCCCCCCCCCCCCCGGAACTCCGAGGCGGGCGGGCCAGATTTTAGTGAGCTTATTTTTTTCCCTTAGCCTAAGCTGCTTCGGGCATTTTTTTTTCCTTGGAGGATGTGGTTGGTAAATAAATGAAAGGAATGGTTTTCTTTTTATCATGTGCCACTGTATGTTTCTCTGACTGGCTCTTCTTCCCCCCCTGCTTCTCTAGCCCATGGGCATCTTCTCCATCCTTGAAGAGCAGTGTGTGTTTCCCAAGGCGACTGAAGCTACCTTCAAGGCTGCCCTTTACGACAACCATCTGGGCAAATCCCCCAACTTCCAGAAGCCCAAAGGCGGGAAGGGGAAAGGGCCTGAAGCTCACTTTGAGCTGGTCCACTATGCCGGCACGGTGAGTCCAAACCAGGCCTGGCTGATACTTTTTCTACTGCGGAGGGGTTCTTTGTGAACACTGAGAAAGGGGTAGTGGATGCCACCACAAAATGGCTGCCTGTGAGAAGCGGGACCGGTCACAAAATGGCTGCCTGTGAGAAGCGGGACCGGTCACAAAATGGCTGCCTGTGAGAAGTGGGACTGGTCACAAAATGGCTGCCATTAGGGGCTGTTAAAAGGTGGGAGGGGTCTGGTTCTGAAAGGGAACTTCCTGAAGAGCCACAGGTCTTCTGAAGACCCTCGTGTGAGAAGAAGAAGGAGAAGAGAATCGGCGAAGAAAGAGCCAGTCTGGTGTGGTGGTTACGACAACCGGGTTTGATTCCCCACTCCGCCACATGCAGCTGCCACTGTGACCTTGGGTCAGTCACAGTTCTCTCAGAGCTGTTCTTGAAAAAGAGCAGTTCCCGGTCAGAGCTCTCTCAGCCCCACCTCCCTCACAGGGAGCCTTTTGGTCTACACAGAGCCTTTTGGTCAATTTTAAGCTAATAAGAAATGTTCATTAAAAGAACGAGATTTCAGATAGGAATAGATTACCTATTCTACCTGGTTGGATGTTCCTGGATGCTGGAGGCGTGTCTGGCCTCCAGAGTGCAAGATGGAGAGAAACATGCACCTTCTTTGTGTACGGGTGTGAGGAAGTGTGTGAGAGGGGGGAAAGGAAATTGTTCCCTAAGAATCAGGGCTATTTTTGGGCAGGAACGCACAGGAACGGAGTTCCGGCTTGCTCCCGAGCTGGCCACGCCCAGCAGGAACTCATTAGCATAATAGGCCACGCCACACCCAACAGCAGAAACTCATTAGGATTGGTTACATTAGGGGTTTGTGGCCTGACATGCAAAAGAGTTCCTGCTACAAAAAAAGCCCTGGGTTTT